CTTTAATATTAAAGAGGAATATTGGGATGCTAAGTCAACATGCAGGAAGTGGGATCATTAAAAGGCCCTAACATCTCCCCACTCTCCAAATCCCATTATTAAATTCCATGCGGCAGCAGCAGACTTGCAGGCAGAAACCTCATCTGATGATCTGAAAGGGACGTTCATTTTTATTTATTTTTTTTTTAAGGAGTTTTAAAATTTGCTATGTTGGGGGGGTGGGGTGGCCAAAAAAGTCATCAGAGGCGCTCATCATTAGAGGAATTATCATTAATTGAGGAAGCATAAAATGGCAAATTACATTTACGGAGCCCGTAAGGGTTTTTTTAAAGATGGCTATAATGAGGAAAGAAGCAACAGAGGAATTATTTTAATTACAAGTCCGTATCTGTTCATTAATTAGCCTGTAAAGATGGGAAAGTACTTCGAATTAGCTCTTTAAACATAATGGCTCACAGAGATTCACGACCGCTCCGCAACCACAAAATGAGCCTTTATGTTAAGGCCGAAAGTGCAGCTAGTTCAAGCCAGCATGATGTATAAACACACCTCAGCAAAATCGATCTCTCTATTGGGCACCTACTACCTCCAGGTTAAAACATTTGCACCGTGGTATTTAAAGGAGAATAATGCTGGGGAGATTACAAGGAAACCGATAAACCCCAAGTCCTCTCCTTGGGAAAAAGACCCACATGCGCACACACTCCCTTATCTATGACATGGTCTCTAATCTCACATATATACAAATGGACGGAGCCTGTGACCTCGAACAGAACACAGGAAGGGCGTGTGGCGGCCAGGGGTACATGCACATGAGCTGGTGGTGGGGGCCACAGCCCCCGGTACCTGGGCACTGCTGGCCAGGCAGCTGCTGAGAGCTGCAGGGGGAAGAGGTCCGAGGAAACTGCATCTGCTCCGAGCCTGGGGGGGGCAGGAAACTCACGGAGGAACTGAGGGGATGAAAACAGACACCCACAAAGAACAAGGGGGTAAGTTTTCCAGACAGCTAAACAGCCATAAGAAGCATATAGGACAGGTAGCGATGGCAGACGCTGTGGGTCACATGACCGGACAGACAGCGATGGGAGTACACTGTGGGTCACATGACNCTGTGGGTCACATGACCGGACAGACAGCGATGGGAGTACACTGTGGGTCACATGACAGGATGGCAGAGATGGTGTACTGTTGGCACATGACTGATGGCATGGGACCGGCGCCGTTATATTAAGACCGGATGGACACCGGGGCTCATAAATCACAGTGATGGCGACCCACTAAATGAGCCTCCCCCCTCCTCTGTGACGGCAGGAAGAGTAATGGAGAGCATCTGCACCCACCCCCTTATGGGCCCATGCTGTGTAAATCACCATGCGGTGGGGGGGGGGGGGTGACAGGGACATGCACCTGAGGGCGCTCTGCTGGCCAGCTGGGATGGCGCTGTAGTACACCTGCACGCCGGGTCCTGCCAGTGGGCCCTGCACTGACTGGCCAGGCACGATGATTGGCTGCGGATAGGTCTGCTGGGTCACACCCTGGGAGCCCTGGGGCACGGACACCTGGGTGACGGGGGGGGGGGGGGGAGCGCACACACGCATTAGCCCTGGTGGAGCCGGACAGCATAGAGAGGAACAAATACGACTGTACTGTCGCTTTAAAGGAGAGAGAGAGAACAGCAGCTCTCAATGCGATTTCCAATTCCCACATTCCAACCATTACACTCTGAGCTGGCTTTAGCGATTCAATTAGTAGTTAATTATCTGCACCACTCATATCTGCGCACTCCCTAAGGAAAGGAAAAATAATAAAACTGCCCCAAGTAATAAAAACTAAAGAAGTTAAATTCTGCGGCCCCCCTGCCTCCACCCCCTCAGACGGAGACGCCACCGCGTCGTGCTGACCTGGTAAGGCTGCAGGGAGGGATACGGCACCATCACGCCTTGCATCTGAGACCCCATATTGCTGTGCTGGCTGCTGACGAGGTTCTGATTCTGAGGTTGCTGGACTCCCACAACACCCTGGTATCCCTGCGTCGGATTCTGCAGCACGGCCTGATAGGCTGCAGGAACAGGGGAGAGCTGTGTCAGATGGTGGAGCTCCCTGTGAGGCTGACCAAGGTATTGCAGGAAGAATATAAAAAAGATGAACATACCCAAACTGGACATGTACTAAATGCAAGCCTAAATCAAACAGATTTATCAGTAAGCTAAAAGCACAGACAGCCTTATTTTACAGCGCAAAAAGTGGACATAAGTGTATATATGGAGGAGATCATGACAAGGGCAAGGCAAACATGCAAAGATTATAAACAGTACTGGTGACGAAGCCTAACAGAGAGGGAAAAAGAATTAAGCCAACAGCAAGGGTTTCTGGGTAAAGAGGGAAAAGCGTCCAGAGGACACACCCAGGTTGTGCTGCCTTGGGGACATTTTCCCAGCAGACAGCAGCCATGAAAGAAGTGGGACAAAGGAAACGGATGGTCCCCAGAAGGCTGCTGCTTGGTTATTTCTGATGACATGCTCTCGGCGGGGGGGCAAGCATGGGGATGGGAGAAGGGCTCTGGGGCAGAGACAATGCTGGCACAAGCCTCCTTTGTGTGTGTGTGTTTTTTTTTTTTTTAACGGAGAGCAGGAGCTAAGGAGAAAAGACGTCACACGCATTACATGTCACAAGACCTTATTCTCCACACTCAGTGTCACCAGCCCATGAAAATAATAAAAATATTAGGCAAGAAGCCCGTGTGCCGATGGCTGCTGCAGCCGCATTAAGGCAGGCGCCCCAGGGAGATGCACTGAGACACGCCTCATAAATATTTCCCCAAACTAAACATGAACAAACACAGCAGCCGTCCAGGGGCTCAGCACTGAATACCAACCAGCACAGACGAACACAACTTCACAGAAAGTAATTAATCTTCTCTTCCTGCCTTCCTGTTCCGCGCCCACCCCCAACCCTACGGACTTTAAAAATGTATGACGCTAATGGCTGCTACGTATGCCCTCAGAATAGATATTGTAAATTATTAAACTTTAATCATGTTAACACTTTGGGGCAGTGTTGTTGGGCAGGGTGCTATACAAAAATAAACGGAGCAGAACATGCAGAGTCACATTTAAAGTGAATGTGTCATCGGCTTGTATTTTCTGGCTAAGCGGTTTGTTAAATATGCCTGCCAGCGCTGCATTTAGGCATCGCCACTGCTGCCATGGTTTATATGCACTTCAGGAATTCACACACTGATACTGATTAAAGAGGAAAATAATCCAGCTTCCTGCAAATCACTCTATTGGTTCCCATCCACATTACAGATTTGCAATACAAGACCAATGAAAGGGGCCAGAGCCGAGCTCAAATAGGGCCTCCGATTGGCCCTTCAGTCTTGAGTTTGCCCCGCCCATGAGCAATGATTAGCTGTGGACGTGAGGCTGTGAAGTGGAGCGAGGGGCAGAAAAAGAGACCGGTTCACTGTGAGAATCGTAGTCCTCTCAGACAGCGCCCCGGTCCCGCATCCGGCCACTCCGGGTCTCGGTCCAAACGGCACCTACATCCTCCTCTAGAATATTCCCTAACTCACAGCACTTAATCACAATGTTACAATGAGGCTCCCCATACCGACACCAAATCACAGCACCCGCAAGAACGGCAAGGGATGCTGCCTTGAGACAGAAGCAGTATGATGAGAGCAGAGTGCAGTGGATTCCCAGCATGCCTTTGGGCAAGCGTGCCAGTTACCTGCAGGCTGGACCGGCTGTGGCATTGGCTGGCTTGGCGGGTTGCCGTAGTGCACGGGAGCGACGGCCCGGTATGCCTGGCTGGAGTGCGGGTACTGAGCTGGCGCACAGTAACATGCAGGCATCTAGAGGGCAGAGCAGGGATTACTCACAGTGAGCTTGGCAACAGCTGTGCGTTACACTGCAGGTGGTACAGTAGCCAGATCAGGACACGATACAGCAGAAAGTTTCAATTTGGGGGGGGGGGGGGGGTGGAGGAAGATACCTGCTGCACGTAGGTCTGCTGCACGACAGGCTGGCCCGCGGAGGGCGCAGCGCCAGGGAAAGCAGAGGTGGGGGGCACGGGCTGCCCTGGGGGCGGCACAATGTAGCCGCCCTGCTGCCCGGGCTGCAGCACCATAGAGGAGGGGTACACAGCGGTGTGGCCTTCAGGGGCTTCGGCGGAGGGCTGCCGGGCCAGGCTCATGTGGCTGAACTGAGCCCCCAGGTTGTCTTGCTGCGGGTGGAACCGGAGTAGGGGAATAAGAGCCATGAGAAACAGAAAAGGCACCGTCATCTTTCCTGAGCTGGCGTGGGCTACTCGCCACACCCTGATGTTAACTGGGGGAGAGACGGTGACGGTTTCAGTCACCGGATACTAAACTTCATATCTGCTGCAAAAATTCATCATTTAAAGCACACTTAATTATTTAGTCATTAAGAGATGTTCGTCAGTGGAAGGAGGTCAGAAAAGACGTTGCAGCAAGGAGATTCATGTCACCAAGCAGGAATGACAGCACAGCGGAGCATATAAAGGGACCCCCCCCAGCTCCTAATCCACATAATAAAATCTGAAATGGCTCATTTTTAGTCTGACAACTTTCAGCATGCAAATTTAACTCAAGAATCCATAAATACAAACTGGATACAGTGGATAATCACAATATCCAATGAGGGATCAACTGCCCATTCTGCTTTTCTTTATTCATTGATCAGAATCATTTTTTTAGTAAAAAAAATAAATAAATAAATAAAAAATGTGAATGAAGTATTATTTAGCAAACTCAAACTATACAAGTAAGTTGTGGGTATATACACACACACAAACTGGTGATTCACACAATAATCCTTTAATCGCCACTAAGAAAAAAAAAATCAAAAGCAAAATGGACAGTTTTTTAACACACGGCGATGGGCATGCAGAGGCTCAGTCAGTGAGAAAAACACAGACAGGCAGAGTGGAGGAAGGAGAAAGAGGAAGAGAGGAGCGGTACCACAGTGTACTGTTGGTTAGAGGAGACAGGCAGGAGCGGAGATGCGTAAGACACCACGGAGAACTGGAGCGGCGGCGGCGCCAGAGGCGGCAGGGACCGATTCGGCTGAGGAGGCAAGGGGTTTGGGGTGGGGGTCAGAGGCGGAGTCACCGTGCGTTTAGTCATGAGAGAGACAGAGTTTCAGGCTCGAAAGCCCTCAGAGTATTAGTCTATGAAGGAGCCCTCAATCATGTAGAGCTAACCAACGATTAACACACCAAAACTGACAGCATTAACTTCCATATTTAGGTTGAATAAAATAGACAAGATGGAGGGATAGAAAACAACAAGAGGACATTTGGCTGCACAAACCAAACGAGGTCTCAGGGATGCGGCACAATCTAATCAAGGACCTTGCCCTTTGGTTTCTGCAGTGCTCCACTCAAAGGGGGCCCTCAGAAACCGCAACTACCCCCCACAGTGGAAGATTAAAGGGTTTGCATGCATTGCCCCACCCCCGCCAGGCATGATTGGAGATGCAGCAGCGGACTGACCTGAGGGAGCACGTGATTAGCCGACTGAGGCGGGTGTGGCACGGGTAGAGGCGGCGGTGGAGGCAAGGAGAGGGGCTGCTGGGTCCTGCTTGGTTGAGGTGCCATGCTGGAACTGTACACAACCGTGCTGCCATCCGGGTGGAGGAAAGGCTGACCTGGTAGGAGAACGGCACCATCATCAGGCATGCTGCATGTTTTGAAATTTGGTGGTACTAAAAACAAGCGACCATTCCTGCTTATGCAGATAAAACGTGTTTCTCCTACACAACCGTGAAAGTCTGTTTGAGGTCCATGCCATACACGTCTGGAGAGCGTCTGACACCACTGATAAGCCCAAGAAATTACATTTCTTAAATGTTTTCAAAGCAGCACCACTCCCACCCCCCCAAAAAAGAAACCTCATTCTATTTTAGGAAGCCTAATTTTGCTAAAAGCAAGAAAAAAAAAATTCGGCCATCAGCAAGGCCAACCAAAGACTCCATATCCAATAGCACAGCTGAGACAGACGTGCATCAGCCGCGGGGAAAGTGCTCCCTCCCGTCATTCAACAGGCCGTTCTGTGCCGGACGGCAGCTTGCAATGACTAACAGCACATTCATTCATCTTCAGAGAGAAGCCGAGACTCCACCCCACCCCCCCCTGGAGAAATGTTATTTACATGAAAGAGGTGCCACTTGAAAGCAGCGCCGTTACGGTGCATCAATAAGAGCTCCACTGAACTCTGTAAACATCCCACGGCTGCTTTTAAAGAAAGCGACTCAAAAATCACTTAATACCTCAGAAATTATTTAGTTGTGCCTCAGCCCACCACATGAAATACACGCCATGTAACTGCAGTGCATCCTTAAACCCCGCCCCCTGGCCCCCGGTGATGGAACTGTAAGATGTGAGTAGTGTTAGTGGTTTGTTAGGTAAACATGTACAGCAACGAGGGAGCTCACACGCACACAGCTCCCGACAGACGGACCCAGAGCAGCCGGTACCAACCTGTGTGCGGGTTCACCAGGATACTGCCAGCAGGGATGCCGGCCGCTTCCAGAGGAAGCAAATAGTAGCTAGTGTTAGCAGTGGATGGCGCCAGGCCGCCCCCGCCCCCCTCGCGGGACACGGAGCTGCCGCCGGGGTAGGCCACGGGGGCGGGCGCGGCATGGCCGGCTGGGGTTAGGGGCAGGAGAGGTAGGGGTGCCGCTGCCGCCGGCTGGGGGCGCGAGAGTGAACCCGTGGACGAGCCTACACTACTAGATGACTCAGAACCTGGGAAAGGGGAGCAAGGGGGGAAAAAGTGTTTACCGAAAGGCAGAGCATGCACATTAATCCTGGTGCAGATCACATGACCAAGTGGTTACGGCTGAATTCATTGGTTACGCTGGACTTTTTTTTAAAAAAACCATTGCTACTTAAGCAGTTAAACCACTAATGGTACTTAAACAATAGACATAATGTACAAGACTGATGTGCTTTAATCTCACGAGGGCCTATAGGAAATGCAAGGCATACAGCAATCAGAGGTCACTAAATCACTCTCACGGGGGCCTAATTAGCACACTTTCTGACGGCCCTCACAGGACATGCGTGTCATATAAAACAGGCAGAGGTGGGGTAACCAATGAATTCAGCCTGGGTTAGGAATAGGACCAGTGATAAGCAAAGCACAAAACAGCTGGCTGTGAATGAAGAGTGAGGTGTGAGGCAGCCATGTTATCACTAGGCGATGAAATCATGCTGTTTGAATGGACAGGTACAAGCACATGACGGGGGGGGTGAGAGAACAACAAGGAGCTGAGCCTTTCAAAGATTAGGGACATAAAATGACAGTATGAGCATCAGATCCAGCTCCACGGCACATCAGGAACATCAGATCACAGAAATGAAAGATTTTAACGACAATCTCATAACTGTATAGCTTAAACTCAAACACACAGCCAATTAGAGCATGGATTTTTATTAACCTAGCGATGATGCATATCCTTAATATTAAAGAGCTGGAGCCTAACTGCAATGGCCCTTTTCTACCAACGTGCACAGGAAGGAGGGGGATTAACAATATACAGTCTGTATACAGTGAAATATGAATAGAAGATTAAATGATTTCATAAGCCATCTGTGGACGGTGAGTCCTGGCACGTTGGATGACCGCACCCACTTTTGAATTCCTTCAGGATTTCATGAGGGGGCGGAGCCTTCACTGTGAGGTCAAGCAGCAGACCAGCCCCACTTGCCTGTTTTGGACAGTCGGCTGGTGCCCTTGCTGCTGCCTGAGCTGTCTCCCCGGATCAGAACTGAGATGCCACTGAAGCTGCTGGCCTTGGTCATGGCGGGCTTCAGGTTGCGGTTGGAGCTGTCCGAGTCCGTGCTGCTCCACGGCCGCGGTTCCGAGTACTTCGGCTCATTCTCGGAGCTGCTCTGCCGGCTGCTGGCGGACCGGCTGTCTTTGGCCCTGAAGATCTGGCGCCTTTGCTGGGTGCTGTTAGACGCATCATCTTCCTGGATCCTGCAGCCAGAAATGGCACCATTGGACCCAAAGCCAAACCCTCACCACAGTGGGCACCATACATATACACGGAACCGGACGCTTACCTCTTATCTAGTGCAAAGCTCTCCGGACCCTGAAAACACATAAAAGTTATTAATCTGACAAAATCAGATATGACACCATCCAATTTTAATCACAACAGATTAAAGCAGAATTTCATTTCCCATATCAGCAAGTATCTTCCTTATAAAGATCATTTAAAAAAACTAAACTGGAACTGTCAGTCCATGCAAATCATACTAAATTAGTCGATTTCTACCAATTTAAACAACCTGCTATTTTAATGGAGAAAATCAGGTTAAATTGGGCTTAAGCGCATAAGGGGAGCAGAGCCCCTTGCGGGATTTGAACCGAATCTTCAGGTTGGCGAGACCTTGAACTTAAACACTCTGCTACACAACCCCAAAAGGTCAACTGATATGAACTTTACTTCTTGTGCGAATATTCTCTCCCTGGCACGCTGGTACTCCTCCTCACGTTCCTCTATGGATTTGCTCCTCCTATCCTCCTTCAGCCGCATACGCATCTGGAGGGGAAAAAAAAACAAACAAAAAAAAAACCGCGGCATGGTCAGCATCGCCCTCTGCTGCAAGGTGCGGGTACCACGGGACACCTGGCAGGAAGCTCACCAGGTTGTCATCCCTGTCCAGGCTGGCATTATCCCGCTTCAGGATGTACCGTTTCTGAAGGTCATCTGCCTTGTCGTCCTTGATGTGCTCGGAAAACTTCTGGTCCGGTCTGAAAAACAGTCCAGGGTTTCGGAACAGAGTCATGCAAGGATTGCAAAACTCAATTTCAGTGCATCTCATGGCATCGTTTATAAATTAGACCACTTCCGGCAATGAGACACAGGTGTCCCGCCTGGGTGGCTGAGCTAGTGACGGCTGTGTGGGCAGACTGGCAGGAAGGGTGGTGCTCACATTCTGGTGTTGCTGGTCTTGTTGATGATCACAGACTTGCCCGTGGGGTCCACGTTGTGCTCGAGGCCGAAGTAGGCAGCCACCCTGTGCAGCAGCATGCGGTGGTACGACGTCATGGGCGGGAACTTCCGCCTCTGAGTCCTGACACCATAGCAATTAAAAAGTAAGGGAAGATTGAAGAAGATTAAAGGCACGGCAGGAAGAAACCATGAAATTCATATCACATCCAGGAAAATGACTGAACATACTGGTTATTACTGATGAAATCGAGAATATCCTGTTCCAGTTTCAACAGCATCATTCTGTCCCTGGAATGAACACATTTAATTACATGAGACATTACAAAATGCCATTATGGCCTTTCAATCTGTGGTACTAAAGAACCGGCAACAGCATGTACCTGGGGTTGTTATTTAGGGTGTTTACCAGGAACTCATGGAGGTCAATGCCAGTGGAATCTGTATATTCCTGACTGGAATCTGTAGTCAAGATAAAGAGAGGGGGAAGAATTATAGTCTAAACCCAAAATCTCCTGATTAAAATGAGTAACTGAATAAAATATGAATTTCAAACAATGGCTATGAAATATCACATCCAGTTTCAATGATGGTTTAAAGGTACCCCAGTTAAGCGTCCTCAAGACAGACACGCGCGCACACACACACACGCACGCACGCACACGCGCACACACGCACGCATACACACACACGCGCACAGACACATGCGCACACACACCTCTTGAAAGCATCTTCCGGGGCATCTTCTCTGACTTCTCCAGCTTGTCTGTGTTTTTCCGTTTCTCGTCTTCATCTCTGACGGGTGGTTCTTCTTTGTCAAACGGCTGGGGAAAGTGACTCTGGATTTTATCCTGCAGACAGTGAAGTGCGGGGGTCAATAACCTCCTCAGTTAGCCAACGTCCCTCAAAAATCATACGTGAGCCCAAGCCTGTCCATCACACACTTGGATAGCCCTTTATATAGCAGGGAGTTAATTAAGATATAATGAAAGGGTTTAGCTCCTGAAACAGACGGCACTGGATTTAGTTTAAGCTGCGCAATACATTACTGAAAATCTTCCCGAATTTAAATGAGGCTTTCACCAAAGAACTGTGTACGCCTATTATGAGGATAAGACGTGCGCGAGTGCCCGCCCACACACACACACACACACACACACACGTTAGTCTTCTTATCTAAATGGGGACCGTCCATTAATTTCTATGGGAAAAACCCTAATCCCAATCACGACACCCTTAACCTCTATCCATCCCTAACCTTACCCATAAGTAACCAACCCAAATACAAGACTTTTGGCATTTTTTCCTTTTTGATTGCATTCATAGATTTTTTATAAAACTGAGGTTATCTAAATGGGGACCTCAAAAGATGTCCCCAAAAGTAGGGAAATTTCAGGTTTTAC